CCACTCAGTGAGTGGAAGAATAAAGTATGAAATATTATACATATAAGACTAAATTAGCAAAAGTTACTGTTAAATTAATTTGATTTAAGGGAAACTAACATATTCTGTTATTTGAGATAATCTTTATCACCACAGGAAGGCACAAAATAGCTATTGAAAATAGAAAATTCTCAAGGAATACAAGCAGAGAAGCAGTTATTCCATCAGCACTAACATTTTTTTTTTCCTCCCCCAAAAGTGCTGCTTCAATTTCAACCCTGCAAGTAACAAAAACAGAAGTTTACATGTTAGCAACCCAAAACTGTCATGACCTAAAGATCGAAGAAATTTATCAAGAACAAATTAAATAGCAGTGATGTAGGTTAAAAGATTATAAGTTTTTAAAGTGCAAGTCTACTGCCACTACTATCCAATTTTAGGTTTTAAGTTAGACATTCACTTAGCAGAGCACTTCTATCCCTTAGTAGAGCTTAAATAAACAAGTAAAAGCAAGAAACTTTGCTTTGTTGCTTAAAAAGCAATAGGTACGATAACAAAAGCTTTCTACAGAAGGAAGGACAAGTTATCCAAAATGACAGAATAGCTTTTAGTTACGTATCTGCAGGAAAGATATTTCTGCATGCAACATTTAAATGTAGCTGATGAATTTATCACACACTTTTTTTAAACATCCAACAGCAAAGTGTATTTCCTGAGAGAAAGGCATCCTTCCTGACCACCAGTATTTTCCTGCTCTCTCACATGTATTTGGGGAGAGGGAAGGGAGAATTACTTTTACAAAAGTTAAAAATGACTTGGACTTGAAACCATAAAGCAGCAGAATGTGGCATTATTCATCATCACACAGTCACTGAGAACCCACCTTTAAGGACACGAGTGAAACAGTACCGAAATACTTTGGCACTGACAGGAATTCTGAAACAGATGTCACTGACGGTCTCTATGTTAAAATAAATTTACAGATCTATAATTAAAGGAAATTTGTTGTCGTTAAATCTAAAAGCCAAGCTGGGCTAGGATATAATTTTTTGTCGTTAAGCAGGAGTATGTGTTTTCTGAACTGTTCGCCTTGGCGACAAGATATTTATTTATACAAGACAATTAATGTACTCAGATACTCTGATCATGCCAAAAACATGGACTGTTCTTTGAAGCCTTTATAATCCAACAGCCCCAGCATCTTCCCCAAGGAGGAAAATGCAAGGTCAGTAACGTCACTTGTGCACCGTTTCCATTATAGAGGAAAATCGCTTCCTCCACCCGGCCAAGTAAGCCTAGATGACAACGTAGCTAACTAAAATAACTATAAACTAGTTTCATACCTTTGAAAAAAAGGGCCGATCAAGCTCAGCAGTTGTAAGACCACTTTGCTTGTAGTCACAGTCACAACAGAATGATGCAAGTACCTGACAGGTTAGGCTTTAAACCCACACAACTCATGATCAAATGCAATACAAGCATAGAGACTATATGATGCATTTTGCCATATTTACCTTCAGGTTACTTCTCTCCCTTCTCCTTACTCATGATCAAATGCAATACAAGCATATTTACCTTCAGGTAAAGCCATATTTACCTTCAGGTAACTTCTCTCCCTTCCCCTAACCTGATTTGAATTTGTTTTTAAAAAGTACACATTTTTAAATAGAGAAAAAGGGAGTTCTAATGTTCACTTTTCAAAATTAGGACTTTTTAAAATTAGTCCAATTTAAAGGATTTCAAACAATATGAACAAGGAAAAGCACAAGAAAACTAGAAGTGCAAAGGGTGCACTTTGTTTTCAAAGCCTTTAACCATTTGGAAATTATTTATTCTAAGCAGTCATTTTATTTAAATACCCTATTCAGCATTTATGAAAGCAATTTTCTCCTGCATTTCACTTCCACCGATGTCCACCATTCCTGCACCAAGCTCTCCCTAACAACAGCACCTCCCGCACACCTTGCTGCTTCTTCCTAAAGATCGGGATAAAGCTATCCTCAGTGACATGGCATATTCAGTATAATCACATCCCGCCTTCATCAGGTATAAATCAAACCTCCTGCCAAATAGAGTATTAAAACAGAAAATTGGTGGCAGTAAAGAACTCAAGCCAGTTAAATGAGTGCTAGAAATATTTATCATTCTCAAGGGCCGTGAGTCTCAGAAGTGCATCTCCGTAGTGCTGTACTGTCCTGCTGCACTTGCTGCATCCTGGTTTCCTCTCAACTACAAGGAGGTGGTGGGTGTGGAATGGCTTGGGGACAGGATAACCTGTGCCGGCCACAGTGGAATAAACTTCTTCTGAAATGTGGCTTGCAGAAAAAAATTCCTTTTAAGAAAAAAATAGAGAAACAAAAAAACTGGAGATTCTCATCTTTGCTATGGATTTTGGACTTTAATCAAAGAAGTAAAAACAGGACTATTTTTAAAAACACTCTCAAACGGTTCAAGGAAAGCTTTCAGTGGGAAATCACAAGACCAGCAGCCGCTCTTTAAACGAGGTGATGCTTAAGGAAACCTTTGTTCTGCCACTGGGATAATGCCCGTCGCTTTCAGACGGTACCGGTGACACCGCGCACCCGTTACCGCCGCGCGCACCGCTCCGCCGCGCGCCATCTGGCGCTAACCAACAACCGGGGGGCTTCCGAGGGAAACGGCAGGATTGCCCCTCCGAATCTTTAGGACAACACTGTCAAGTCCAATCTATTCACTTCGGCTCCAGAATCAATTTTTCAAACTTTATGACAGGCCTAATAGTTTCCACCTGTTTCTCCTGCTTGACTTTTGACTGGCACGGTACCAGCGCGGGTGGGAAGGCAGACAAAGCCCCCATTAGGCTCCGGCTGTTTCTCCCCGTGAGGTCACTCAGCCATTAAATTAGTTCCAGCCCCCGCTCCCCTCCTCGCGCCGGGGTTTTGGGGGGTCCCGCGTAAGGACTCCGTCGGGCAACGCTTGCTTACTGCAGTGTGTAACTGCATAGGCGTATCCGTTTTTTCGTGGAATTTACAAATAGGTCCTTCTTCTGCACGTAAGGAAACCTTTCTTCTCTTGCTACTGCTTGTATGTTAAAACTGGGACATTTTTTCCTTCAGCGAAAATAATCCAACACGTATTTGCATCAGTTTCTAGCAATTTATGAGTTGCCATCCTCTGCAAGATCTTCAAGCACTTTGCTGAGTTGCATTCACATGCACACACACACGAAAATTATTTTATTAGTCACAACTATATTTTTACAATATCAGCTGTGATACTTACCACAAATACCCTGATTAATTAAAACAAAAGGCTTTCAGTAAGCTACATTTAATTGCTCAAGTTACAGTCTGGCTAGGACCATCTTCCCAGTAAGAAGCTGCTTAAGGACAGGACTTCTGCTTTACATCATAGCTAAAAAGTAACTATTCAAGATGCATCATGATGGGAAAAATCTTGAAGATGCAGATCAGGAAACACTTCATTACGTTTAGATGACCTATGCAAGAAAGCAGCCTGGGTGCTGAATGCTCCGCTGGAACATCACCTCAGAGGGAGAAAGGTCCCATGTTCACTGAAAAATCAAGACCTTTCTTTTTGCTCCCTTGTCCTTCTTGAGTATAAAATCACGTATGAATTGGCGGACCCGATTCTGTTCAGCTTGTCATATCTAAACGAAACCACAGAGGCCTGAGTAAACGATGTACTTCATCTTACTGGGCTGTGTTGATGGTGCTCATGAGAGTATCACCAAAACCTGAAGAGCCTTAACAGACTACACCAAAACACCACTTCTTCAGCTGCTACACAATAAGAAGTCTGATTTCAACCGCATGGGTGGGAAATGCTGTGAATACTAAAAATTGAGGAACAAATACTACAAATTATACCAATAACACAGCCATTTTCTCCGTGGACTCTTACTGAACATGTCTGCCTATGTCCAAAGGTCCTTGTAAAGTCAGAGGCTGGGGTCTAAATCTGAGTGAAGTGACAGAAATCAGAAACATTTTTCTGTATGCAAATATTGACACACACACACGTAAACACAGAATCTTTTTCTTTAATGATAATTGATTCTGTGTCTAAGCTGCAATATTTTAGCACCAATTATTATTTGCTAATTTTCATCTACAAAACTGTAAGTGCTTAATTTCATATAGCATTTAGTAAATGGAAGAGTGTCAATAGTCAGGCTACAAATTTATTTACTGTTACACTGTTCTAATGTACTCATACACACATTTAGTCTGTATCAGCTCCACTACTTGCAAGAAAACATACTCTATAATTTACATCACCCTTGCAATTTATGCCATATAGCTGAAAATTTAAGCTCTCATAGCCACATGAGCTAATCAATTATAACATCTAGGTTAAATTGATGATAAAAAAGAGAAAAGAAAATCTGGAAGGACCGACGTTATTTACAACAGTAAAATTCAACAGAAGATTTTTGCAAATGAGTGTACTCACTGATACACAAAAAGTGGATGTCAGGAATTATAGCAGCAAGTAGAAACCCATACACAAAAACCTGTCCTGAGGAACAACTTCCCAAAGAAAACAAGTTTTTCCATCAAACTATTCCGCTTTTTGAAACATAACAGTTTTGTACATAAATTCCATCCTAAAATTTAGGGACTGCGATTGTCATATTTAAACTAAACTTTGATGAACTACTTTCTCAAAGGTATCTCACAGCTTATTAACAAAAAAAAAAAAGAATGTTTTTGTGAAGTACTCAGTAAAGGGATAGGAATTGGTATGAGAGAAAACCACACTGTTAACACTAAGGCCGCAATAACACCTCGCAATAGATCTCTCTTTATGTCCTATAAAAAAAAGAGGATCTGCTTTTTGGAGTTTGGATGGTCTGTAGGCTTCAAATATAAACCTAAGGAGGAGGGAAAAAAAAAAGCTTCCTTTTGAGCATTGTATATTGTATACATATACGTGTATGCAGCACATACAAATATGTACTACAATTCTGAAATCCAAGTCAGAAAGCTTATTCAAGATGGCTTACGTCAGCATCTTACCCATCTAGAAGATTCATTGTTGTGGTGGTAACTTCAGTGAATAGAAGGATCTTTCCAAGTTTTTTTGTCTGCAGGTTCTGTTGATACGTCTTCAGGCTGAAATGTTCTGATGAGAAGCTTCCCATCTGAGTGATGACTGACATGAGAGATGGAGTTACCTCCATTTTTGATTCACAAGATGAAACAAATTTGAGAGACACTTTCCTGGATTCTACCAATCCTTCAGCATCTACATTCTGCTCGAGCCATTTCAGAAAAGCAAGGTGGATTTCCTGTGAGGAAGGGAAATAAAATTAAACATGAAGTAAAAATGCCTTGTATACACACATAATGTTGTATGTCCACACTTGGACCTTTCTCTCCTTTATTTTAGGCTATTTAGAAATAAACTGTATTGAATGTGAAATAAAGAGATGAATTACCAGGAACATTATCATTGGTGATGCACTGAAACAACTGTTACATATTGTTAGAATATTTTTTTGGCAGCATCTAAATCTATTTTGAGAGATGTAGTATGAATGCTTGCCATTTCTTCAGGTCACTAACTTAGCAGCTCAAGAGCTGGGACTTCTTTCTACCAGGTATGGGACTTAGATTTTGACAAGTCCTATTGACAAAACAGCCTTTTTTGCATGTGTATCGTCGTTTTGTTTTTCAAAGAAAATTTCAAACTGAATCAGACAGGAGATAATTTACAAAAATAAAAAAAGAAAGATAATGGTATCAAAAGATAAACTAATTAAACAACATATTGAATGCAAGAAGTAAAAGCTACTTAATCACTGATTGAAGTTATGGATAATTTACCAAACAAATTCGAAGGAGGAAACTCAAGTAATATTCTGGGGGACAAAAGTGCAGGAAGCACAAGAGGATGCTGAAATGTATGGACAAATGATTCCTTAAAAATATTACGAGATGAGCATAGCTACCTAAACAGCACTTGAGAATACAATTCTAGATCTGGCATTCTTCATTATATTCTCCTTTCCAGGATAACAGTTATCCTGAAAAAGCCAATGGAAGCTAGGTATTATATTCTACTGAAAACAAGTTACAAGGATTCTTACCCTGCAATTTTCTAAGAGGAAGGCTTTTGACTTTCATTTATTTTACACTGTTGCATATAAATGCATCCTCTAAGCCAGCATGTGCCCCTCCTTTCCACTACTGCAGTGACTTGGAGACTTAACTTTCAAGTTTTCCTAAGCTACAAACAAGCTACACTGCCCTTGAAGAAGATGCTCCTGAGCTCCATGCCAATCCCCAAACTGCAATCAACAGCTAACTTCCTATAAATAGCTATCTACCTAAAGAATTGCTCCAGTCTTTCAAATCCCACAGTTATATCCATATAGAAGGAGAAATGTTTTTCTTTTTGTAACACCTTTTTATGAATTTTCCATCTTCAAAAATGACATCTTCTAAAGTTTCAGATGGACATTACTTCTTGTGTGTTGCTCTTTATATACTGAATGTCAACAGACTTACTGGTTTGCAGACCTCTAGTACAAGTAGGAAAGCATAATATGAAGAAGGGAATATTTTTTTCCTAGTGCAATCTAGCACTAGCTTCTAAATCCCAAAAGGATCTAACAGTGCTGCAGTCAGTGGTTAAATTTTACTTACAGAAAAATTACTTCTCATTTCTTGGTTTTCTAAAGCTCCAACCGAACTCTTTCCATTTTGCTTCTTGGACAAAATATGCTCTAAACATTTTTTCCTTTTTTTCTTTTTGGCACACGCACAGTACATGATGAGGTGACATTAAAAGTTTTATGAGCACTTCTTTGGATGGATCATCATAAACCACTTGTATCTTCACTCAGAGTAGTATTATAGCCTTGACAGACTGCTGATAAATTCTTACGTACAATCCTGCTTGTTTTTACCCACATAGTAACTTATTCACAGTTGGTAGTGCTTAGAAAAGTCATGGCTTTAATTCTCATGAAGGACTATACAGAAACTGCTTAGGCAGAAAGCGCATTTCCTATTGCTTTCTGAAAATAGAAATCCACTTAGCATGAATGTCTGAACATGCAAAGTCCCAAACACAAAAACGTAATTTTAACTCACAGATGAGCAGATTTATAGGCTTATAGAAACAGACATTAATTTTAAAAGTTCTTTAAGTGTCTAAAGGTTCTTAAAGTATCTAGTAGTTCTTAGCAAACAATGACAGCGTTTGATACGATGCATCAGAACATCCTGTGCACCCTTGCTACTGCATATTTTAAGGACTAAAACAATATTAAGTGCAATATTATATTATTACAAATATGCCATACAATTTGCAACATTCACCCTTTTAATATATTCATTCATGAGTATATTCATTCAAGTGATTTTTTTTTCCATAGCTTTAGGCTTACTTCTCAATTTCATTTTCTCATTTCTAAAGCATATTGAACCATTTAAGATTTGTTAGGTGTATATAATTACAAATCCATTTTCCCCCTAATGTTTATTGAGTTGATCAGAAATATAAACATGGGTAGCATGCAACTTAAAGCAGCACTTGATTTTTAGAAATTTCTAAGAAAAAACTATAAACTTTTTTTTAAGGAAAATAATTTCCAAGTCCTGTCCAAATGCTCACTAGCAAAAGTAGCTGTTAGTGCAAGAACGTCCCTTACGGGATTAGAAGCACGGATGCTGAAGCGATGTGTTTTTGTCCCCGCAGCTACGCAGTCGCGCGGGATATCAGGGAGGCTTTTACACGACGAAACACGCTTACCCAAAAAGCCAGGGCTAACCTTTATTTCAACCCCGCTGGGAAGGCGCATGAAGAGGTCAGCAGCAGAACGGCGCGGTCTGCCGCTGTGCGCGACCCTCGCACGGCCCAGGGGCTGCAGGCCGAGCGAGCGCGGTGCTTCCCCGGCTGCGGCCGCCGCTCGGCAGCAACCTCTGGTGGGCG